TAAGACAAATAATGATTAGGTTAACATTATAAATAATTATTTTTTTTTTTTAGTTGTGGGACTGGAGAGATGGATGAGCAGTTAAGAGCACTGGCTGCACTTCCAGAGGACCTGGGTTTAGTTCCCAGCACCCACAAAGTGATTTGCTATACTGGTAACTCCAGCTCAGGGGATCTGATACTCTCTCTGCCTTCCATAGCACTGCACAGACACACGAGCAGACAGACTTCCTGAAAGGACTTCTAAGGGCCATGATTCTCATTTTCATTATTTTGTTGTGAAGTTGGGAAGGGGGTGGAGAATATACTTAATAAATACTTCTAACTATGTAAGTATAAGATAAAATAAGCATTCCTCCCCAAGTTGCTTTTAGCTGTGGCATTTTATCATAGTAATGGAAACTCAAGGTAACACTGGGCTGTGGTGATTCACACCTTTAATTCTAGATTTGGGAGGCAGAGGCAGGTAGATCTCTGTGGGATTGAGGCCAGCCTGATCTACAAAGAGAGTTCCAGGACAACCAGGAAAACGTTGTCTCCAACCCACCCCCCCCCCCCCCGAAAAAAAAAAAGGAAAGAAACTCAAGGTAAGAAATCTTCAAGAACACATATATACAGACTTAAAAATTTTTTTCTATGAAATGCTTTATGAGGTTTTTCATTGTTATTCTTATTCTCTCTTGCTTCAGTTCAGAATTTCCTTATCAGGCAAGATAAGGGACTAAGCTTTATCTTGTATTTATTATTATTATTTTTAAAATTCTTGTAGGAGATGAAATTAAGGGTAATTTGGGGACTGTTCAAATCAGTACACCCAAGGCAGATAAACTGAAAGGGAAAGCTCCAAAATGCTATTAAAGATGTGGCTACAGAATTCTAAGCAGGGAAAATACAGAGGAAATGCTGACACGCTTTCAGGGCGATGAGATTTGGTGCCATAGTTCATATGAGAATGATGTCAAGTCAGAGAAATGGTAAGATTCTATAGGGAAAGAAGGGGAACAACCTTACTATGGAGGATGGGGTTCAGGAGAACACATCAGCACCTCTGTCCAGTGGAATTCATCTGTGGAGAGAAGCCCTACAAATGCCAAAGCCTGGCAAAGCCTCAGCAATAATCCTGCGTGCACACCAGAGGACACACGTGGAGGAAAACTGTATACCTGTCCTGTATGTGGGAAAAGCTTTCTAACAGTTCCCAGCAGATGCAGCACTTAAGAACACACACAGGAGAGAAGCCCCGCCTGCATAGCAAGTGTGGGAAAGCTACAGTGATACTTCCCATCTTATTCCCTACCAGAGAACTCGCACAGGAGAGAACCCTTACAAGTGTTCTGCCACCCGTGGGAAGGATGTCAGTAGCAGCTCTCGCCTAAAGCAGCGTCACAGATCACATCCCAGTGAGAGGCCATACGGCCTCAGTCACAGCTATGTTCTAATAGAACACAGGACTCACGCTGGAGGAAAACCCTACAGGTGCCCCAGAGACGGGAAGAACTTCAGTCAGGGTTCCAGCCTGATTTGCCACCAGCAAATGCACACAGGTGGAAAACCCTACACATGTCGTGGGCGCAGGGGAGCCTTTGGTTTCTAATTCCATTCTAAAAAGCAACAGAGAATACATACATGAGGAAACCCCTAAGGCTGTCCAGAATGTTGAATAACCTTTAGTCGAGGTTCAAACCTTCTAACAAACCAGAAAATGCACACAGGAAAGAAATCCTCCGGTGCTACAGAACATGAAAAAAGTGTGCCTCAGAGCTACTGTGTAGGGAGGAGTACAGAGTCCAGCTGGGAGAGACACCATGTAAGGGCTGGGAATGTGGAAACAGTTTTGGCCTTAGCTCCCACTTCATTAGACACCAGAAAACACACTCTGGAGAGAAGCCTTACCGGTGTTCTCGGCGCTAGAAGTCTTTCAGTCAGAGCTCAACCCTAGTAATTTACCAAAGGACACACGCAGGAGAGAAGCCTTGTAAGTGTCCTGACTGCGGCGAGTCCTTCAGTCAGACAGACGTTCAACGTGATCAGGCACCAGAGAACCCACATAGGAGAGAAACCTTACAGATGTGCTGATTGTGAAATGCTTCAGCAGGAGTGCATACCCCTGTCAGCACTCAAGACCCATGTCCAGCCTTTCTAGCTTCCTCAAGGGGTGATTTTCTTCATGAGTGGACTCAAGGAAGCTGTTCCAGAGAATGGTCCCAATCCTTCCATTTCCAGCCTGAAATTCTTCTTGAGTCCCAGGGCCTGGCTGGGTTCTTTTTTCTCCTTACTAGACCATTAGAATTAAGGTGCTCTATGCTCACTGCCCTCTGAAGTTTCTTTGTTGTGTTTGCCAAACAATCTGGAAAAAAAGAGCTTCCAAGTGTAATGACCAGCAAGGCCCACATCAACAGGGTATGAAATCATCAGTGAGAGATACCTCTTAAGGGTGAAGAAAAGGTAGACATCATTATCATTTAAAAAAATTCAAAGCCAGGTAATAGTGGTGCAGGCCCTTAATCCCAACATTCCAGAGGCAGAGGCAGGTGGATCTCTGAGTTGGAGGCCAACCTGATCTACAGAGGAAGTTCCAGGACAGCCAGGGCTACACAGAGAAACTTTGTCTATAAATAAATAAATAAATAAATAAATAAATAAATAAATAAAGCTATAAAAATCAAGGTGAGATAGAAATAGCTTCAAAGGAAAATATAAAGAGTATTCTTATGTGTAGGCGGAGCTGGTGGGACAGAAAGCTCCACCTACATCATGACTAAGCAAAAAGACAAGTGGAAGTTGGGACTGCAATTGAATTACTGTATTTTGTCTGAACAAATGGAGATAGTTTATTACTTGCTTTGTGGGCTTACCCAGGGAAAGATAAGTTTAAGCAAATGATGTGATTTCTTGAATGTTTTCTGTGCCTAAAAAAAAAAAAATACCCATTTAAAAATTTTTTTTCATTTGTTTTTCAAGATAGGATTTCTCTGTGTAGCTCTGGCTTTCCTGGAACTTGCCCTTTTAAACCAGGCTGGCCTTGAACTCAAGAGATCTGCTTGCTTCTGCCTTTGAGTGCTGGGATTAAAGGTGTGTGCCACCATGCTTGGCTCAAATCCCATTTTAAATGTGGACAGTCTTTTCCCTGAGTTAATTCTGTGTTTTGGACATGAGTCCTCAGCTTCAGGAGCGGCTGTTTTATTTTGCCTCTTGGTTTGGTTTATGCATCTGACAACCGAGAATTCATCCTATCCTATGTCCTGTGGAAATGTGCATTTGAAAGTATTAGATACATCTTATTTTCTCTTACTAGTGGCCAAAGGTGATACACATTTAGGAAGGTCAAGACTCCTTTAAATTCCCCAGGATTTCAGCTTATGTTGGATTCAAGAAATATTTCATGAACATGGAGAGACGTGCATGAGGAATGTGGAGCTAGGGACAGGAAGTGGCTGCACACGCCTGCATTCCAGCACTTGGGAGGCAGGGACAGGCGGATCTCTGTGAGTTTGAGACCAGCCTTGTCTACGGAGTGAGCTGCAGGACAGCCAGGACTGTTACACAGAGAAACCCTGTTTGGAAAAAAAAAAAAAAAAAAAGCAATGTGGAGTTAGGGCTGGAGAGATGGCTCAGCAGTTAAGAGCACTGACTGCTCTTCCAGAGGTCCTGAGTTCAAGTCCTAGAAGTCATATGGCGGTTATAACTGTAGTACCATGGGATCTAATTCCCTCTTCTGATGTGCTAATGTATATGTAGACAAAATGCATAAATTAAAAAAGTCTAAAAGAAAGAAATGCGGAGCTAGATAGGATCAATTGTGGCTTCGGTGGGCGTGCCCTTGAGCACGCTATGGGGTGGGGTAACTACATGAGTTTTATTTCTTCTTTCCTTATGATAGAGCATACTGGTTAAACAATTGTACCTTTTTGAATTGCTGAAAGACTAAAAAGGACAGCAGAAACTAACAAAGATATGGGACAAGTATTTAAGGGCGAGTTTCTACTTTTATAAAGAAGGTAAACATTGAATTTTAGGTCATGAATTGTAGGTCATGAAATATTGCCACAATTATAAATAGTAACCAGGGCAAGGTCTTGCAGAATTAACATGGACACAGGTAACTAAGAAGTCAATGAATGCTTGATAATTCAATGGTACCGCTGAGGCTGGAACTCGGTTGCAAGGTTGCATGGCAGTAGCTGTGGGGGCTATAAAATGATCAGCGTCATGAACTATGACAGATAAACCGCTCACCTCCTTCCCCTGTGAAGCAAAGGTAAATAAATACCTCTTTGGGAAGGTGGCTGTAAAGTTTGGATAAATGTTTGCAAAGCTTCTGGCATAGTGCTTGAAACATAAAAGAATCTTATTAGACAGTTTCGGTGTTGCTGTTAATTAGATCACCTTTTTTTTTTTTTCTTTAATTTTTTTGGAGCAGAGTCTCACTACGTAGCTTTGACGGGTCTGGAACACGATCGGCAGACCTAGATCCTCCTGCCTCCCTAGTTCCGGGATTAAAGGCGTGCTCCACTTCCCACGACTCGCATCTTTCCCTTCAGCCTGCGTCCACGAATGACGCCAGGATCGCTGGTGTGTCACGTCCTTCACGCATTTTCAGCCCGTGCCCACAGTCCGCCGGGCGGCCTCTACGAGCTCGGTGACTCCCGGGCTGTGCGCGGCCACCAGGCGTTCCTCCAGAGCTAGCTCCACCCTCCGCAGGTGGGAGCCCAGCCGAGCAGGCACCGCCCCATCCGCCCACCGGGCCGGCGCCCACCCCACGCGCCCGCCCCGCACCACGCAACATCGCCCTAGCGCCTCCGCGACTGGCGCCGCGCGGAGTGAGCCTCCTGCCATTGGCCGAACGCTCCATAGCGCCATCTCGGCCTACCGCGCGGTGCGCGCTCTCATTGGTCCGGAGCGGCGTGGGAGGCGGGGTCCGCCCGCGGGGCGGTGCCGGGTCGGAGCCCCGCCCCCTGGTCCCTTGGCTGCCCCGAGCCCGCCGGGTGGCTGAAGCTCGTGGGGCCGGGCTGCGTGCGGGGCGCGCGGTGGTTACTCTGGTTACTGTCCGCGAGGGATGCTGGGGACCCGGCCGTCCCGCGTCCTCACCGAGCTCTGACGGACGCTCTCCGGAGACAGCCATTCACCCTCGAGGAAGGCAAGTGGCGGTCGGGCAGGTTCCGGGCCGTGACTTCGGGGCTGGCTGAGGCGAGGTCTCCGGGGAGAGCTGCGCTGCCCCGCTCCAGCCGCGCTTCGGGACTCCGGGGCCATCTTTTGTTGGAGGCTGCCGGGCAGTGTCGCGTAGGGGCAGCTTTCCCAGCACCCTCATCCTTGTATGCCAACTCCTTCCTACCGAGCACTTGCTGCAACTGACAAAAGGCCATTTACAGCCCGAGGAGTGGACATCGAAGTACACAGCAACACTCGTACCCCTCACCCCAGTGTAAACATAGAGACACCCGTCTGTCAGTTGGCTGAATGAAGAAGGGTCTCTAATCAGGTGCTGTAGGCAGGCTTTAAATCCTGCTTTCTAAGTCCTGGACAACTTAATACGTTTGTACTCTGAATGATTTCAAAAATTGATCTCATCTGACTCGTGATCCCGAAACTGTTGGCAGGAAGGGGTTGGGCCAGTGTCCCAGGCCCCTTTTGAGAACCACATTTTGGGGAGAAAGTTTTAATCATCAAACCCCTCCCGAGGGGAAAAAAAAAGACCACCCCAAAACAAATCAAAACAAAACAAAAAACCCAAAATTCCTCAGCCTTGGCACCAAAGAAGCTTTTGAGCCATGTGGACTTTTCTTGGCATTGCTACCTTCACCTATTTTTATAAGAAATGCGGGGATGTCACCCTGGCCAACAAGGAGCTCCTCTTGTGCGTGCTGGTGTTCCTGTCGCTGGGCCTGGTGCTCTCCTACCGCTGTCGCCATCGAAACGCGGGCCTCCTTGGTCGCCAGCAGAGTGGCTCCCAGTTCGCTGCCTTCTCTGATATTCTCTCAGCTCTGCCTCTTATTGGCTTCTTCTGGGCCAAGTCACCCCCTGAACCAGAAAAGAAAGAGGAGCTGGAGTCCAGTAAGGTAGGTTGGTTCCACAGTGGGCGAATGAATGGCGTCTAATTTTAAACTTCAGATCGAGGTCACTGAAGTTTACGGTTTCATTAAAAGTCAAGAAAGTGATGACCTAGAAGCTTCAATATTCTCATGTAGTTGAGTTTTTTTTTTTTCTGGATTGTGTATGGTTATGATCCTTGATTTTTTCGGAAAGACAAGAGAATTTGTTTCATTTAGTGTCTGATCGTTGGGTAAGGGCTTGGCTATTGGTTGGATAGGCAATGTTAGCTTTTCATTTGGAGGACAGAATGAGAGTGGCCTTTATTTAAATCCTTGGATAAGGAGGATATTTGTACCTGAGAAGAGTTGTGGTGTGACAGGTAAGGCTACTTAGGGAAAGTAACAGAACAGTTTGAAAAGCAGTAAAAATGTTCAACACTTTAAAGGCTGGCAGAGATCCTTCCTCCTCCTAGTCACTGAAGCAATGAATAAACCAGTGGCGTCAGGTCCGAAGTCAGTGATAGTTGAATGATGGTCCCGTGTCAGAGACGGAATCTATGAATACTTGTTATTACCACCAGGGAAAGACGGAGGCCTGTGGCGGAAGATAAGAGAGAGACCAGTATAAGGCAGACATGTAGGGCCTGTTGGCCGTGGATATTTGAAGTTTCCCCCCAAGAACACTGGAAAGACTTAAGAGTGAGAGGAACAGTGCTCGATTTTTACCTAATGATAATAGTAGTTATAATATTAATAATAACAATAACAGGGATATTGGCTGGGAGACTGTAGCAGGGTACCCAGCCTGGCATAGAAGGTTGTGGCCAGATAGAATGAGTTCGTTACCCACAAAGCAACGCAGACTCCTGGATCTGCTTTATTTTGTCATGTCCATAGTACAGGTTAACTTTGGATCTGAATTTTGGCTCTGCCACTACTGGCTGTGACACTTTAGGAATGGGTTCATTTCTGCACGAATCACTTTGCTGTTCTGTTAGGTGAGGGTCGCTTGTAGACAGGGAGTTAAGTGACTTCATATTTGCAGAATGCTGGGTGCATAGCCATCTAATAAGTAACTAGCTGTTGCCACTAGTCTACAGTGGGTGTATTCTGTTACTATTTGGTGGGTATAGTGCTTGCTGATTGGAGGTGAGGCCTTACTTCTCAAGGTAAGAACTCTGGGGTTTGTATTTTGGAGACCTCCCCTTGAGGTTGAGTTCTGGTCCAGGTAGCTGGAGCACTATGACTGTCACAGTGCTGTGCAGAGAATTTGTGGGGTAGGAAAACTGAATTGTAAACTGGTGGGCTGGTTTCATTTTGCCTGCTTCAGTCTTTCTCCTTCCCTGGAAACCAGGGAGCTGCTGGAGCGTGTTGAGTGCCCACTGACACATATGTAACGGGGACAGTCAGAAGCTGGGAGAGAACCACACCTGTAGAAGCTCAGTATGAGCTTGAGTGATTAAATGCTAGGGTTTGTCCTAGGTTGTGTCTGAATTTCATGATTCATATTTATAGTATCTGACCGGATATGGATTTCTAAATATGTTCATGTAACAACACTTTCTAATTAGTAAGTCCAGAAAAAGGAATATATGTTCAGTTTTATTGGGATACATACATTTCTATTTAGCCAATAATTAGGCAATCAGTATTTTGATACTGATTTTTATATATCACCTGAATTTTAAAATACACCATTGATTTGGTTTAATAAATGTTTGTGGTCCAGTTTTTGTTCAAGATGTAAAAGTCTAGTAGCTTATGTGTTAGTAAAATGATTTAAGTCAATAGATTTGAAAGCATAATGTTCTTTTTGTTAAACAGTGCAGAAAAGAAGCCAGTATTTCAGAAACAACATTGACAGGAGCAGCTACCTCAGTGTCAGCATCTTCTCTGAATGATCCGGAAGTTATCATTGTGGGGGCTGGTGTACTCGGATCTGCCTTGGCAACGGTTCTTTCCAGAGATGGAAGAAAGGTGACGGTAATCGAGAGAGATTTAAAAGAGCCTGACAGAATCGTTGGTGAGCTTCTGCAGCCAGGTGGTTACCATGTTCTTAAAGAACTGGGCCTCGGAGGTAGGTGTATCTGATTTTCAGGAGTTAGATGGTAAAAATGAGTGCCCTTCACTTTAGACTAATCTGCCTTCCTTCCTTCCTTGTAAAACTTATATTTGCTAAACACGTTATGTGACAGAGAGCGAAGGAGAACAGAAACATTTAGTAGTGTGAGAAGAAGAGGCTGCTTAGACATAACAAGATAATGAAATGTCTAAAATGGACTGTCTTTAACGAAGACACTGAACTCACTGCCCAGAGCTATCAATTATAGAGTGTGTGATATGCTTCTGGCGTGGGGTTATTCCCTCAGATCTTGTGTTTATGGATGATTCATTTACCCAGCTGGTGCTTTTTAAGTACTTCTCACATTCATCTGGAAAATGTTTATTTACTGCTGTCTTTGAATGAGGAGTTATACTGAGTGCCAACGTGTACTAATGGTCGAGACAGATACTCTTGAGACGTAGAGACAGAAGGAACTCAGTTGTAAGGTGAGAAGCCACCTGCTTCATAGGTGTAGAAGGCCGAAAGCCTTGGTTTCAGAGCTAAATTGCCTGGGTTTGAATATTAGCTCGGGCTTTTAAAAGCTGTTTGGCCGTGCCGGGCTGTGGTGTCGCACACCTTTAATCCCAGCACTTGGAGGCAGAGGCAGGCTGATATCTGAGTTAGAGACCAACCTGGTCTGCAGAGTAACAGCCAGGGCTACATAGATAAGCCTTGTCTTGAAAAACAAACAGAACAAACAAAGCTGTATGCCTTGTGACTAACTTTAAACCTAGTAACTTAGCCTTCTGTGTATGATTTGTTCCTTCATTTATAAGAAAGGTGTTTGAAGACCCTCTTCACATATTATGAGGATTAAGTGAATTTGAACACATAGACCACTCAGAACAATACTTGATGCATTGTAGACTCTGTATTCTTGCCTACTGTTTTGTTAAGGGAACTGAGAAGGAGACATAGAGAAAGCAGTGGGTGATGGGGAAAGAAGATGACTTGTCCTGAAGGCTGAAGAGGGAGGCAGAAGCTAGACCGTGTAGGCTTCATACGCAGCGGAGCAGGAATGTGACGTGACACCATTTTGCATCTGCAGCAGTGGCTTCAGCTCCAGCAACTCCTCACTCGACACAGCACAGTGCGGCACCTGTTACATCATGGCTCAGTGTAGCCATACGTATTTCAGCTGACTGAAATGTTTCCCCCCTTTTTAGTGGACCTAGGGCTCAAACTCAGGCCTGCCCCATGCTAAAAACTATTCTGCCACTGAGCCCCATCTCTGCTTCCGAAATTTCTTCTAGTTTGCTTTTTAAAATTCTTCTGGCTTTGCGAGTTAAAGATCACAATTCAGAGCTCACTTTATAGTTCATTGGGTCCCACATTGCCATTGCCATTTATCTACAATGGCGTTTGGGGAAACAAACATGGATACAGTATGAAGAATAGAGTATAAGGTAGGCGTGGCACCACACCTTCAATGCCAACACTTGGGAGGCACAGGCAAGTGTGTCTCTGCGTTCAGGGCCAGTCTGATCTACATAGAGAGTTCTCGGACAGCCAGGGATACATAGAGAGACCTTGTCTCAAAACAAACAAACAAACAAAAAACAACCCCCCAAGAATAGACTAAGTTTTAACTGATGTGCTGGCTGGTAGCAAATTGTAAAGGAAAGTGGACGCATGATAAGAGGCACGGGTTACACACATGCATGCATGCACGCACGCATGAAGCAATCCCTAGGTTTTTGCCTCAAGCAGCTGTTTTGAAAGACATGGGTTTATACCAGGAAGGGAAGGAACAGCTGTGCCATGTTTGCCAACCAAATGCTAGGTGGGAGGAGTGAAGAACACTCACCCCTGGACTTGGCAGTCTGTGGCAATAACAAGGAAACCTAAGCTGAAACGAGAGGGAGACATTATAATTTGAAACTACAAAACTATTTTTTCCCTTTCCTATGATGTTGGAGATTGAACTTTGAGACTTGTGCATACACAGCAAGCACCCTACCCCTGAACAGATCCCTAACCTATAGAAAACTATTTCTTTATGAGATTTTAAAATTTAACAAATAATTATTACATGTTTGAGTGTTTTGCCTATGTATATTCTATGTCTCACATGGTGCCTGGTGCCCAAGAAGGCAGAGGAGGTTGTTGATCCTCTGGATCTGATGGTTGTGAGCACTGAACTATGGTTCTCTGGAAGAGCAACCAGTGACCAGCCAGCTCAGTCATTTCTTGAGAAACTAATTGGATGGCAGGAAACAGAGCTAGGACAAAATTAGATAGGAGTATGAGGCCAATGGAGGTGTATTTGATACAAGAGTGCTTTTTTTAATAGTAGTGTATGATAAGGGAGAGAGGAGAAGCTGATGCTGTGGCTGAGAGTGGCAAATATATTTTTTAAGGTGATGAATATACTGAGTTTCATAATTTTATTGTCAAGGTACAAGACTTCAACCATCGCATTAGACCTGTAAACACATAACAATTGTTATATGTCAGTGACAGGGATAAAAATAAACACAAGCTTTTTCCTTGAAATACCATCCTCATCGTTGTCAGCAAGAGAAAGCCTGAAATGGAGAGCTCAGGGCACTTACTGTGCTTCGAGCCAGACTTTGATCAGCCCACAGCTGGCTGAGAATGACTCCTTCAACAAATATTTAAAAACACTGACAAGTAGGCTTTGGTCTATTTCTGAGACTACATCTAGGTGGATGCTAAAGAGGGAGTGCTAAAAGACAATACATTTTTAAAAAAGTAGATAAACTGTTTAAGATTGTAGGGACTAAAGAAAATCAGAAATAGTGGAATAGCAAGTTGGTGGGGATAGTTTTTGTCATGAGAAGTTACCTTGGAGTCAAGAAATGAAGGTGGAGAATAAGCCTTGGAGATGAGGAGAGTGTACATTCCAGGCTTAGCTTTTGTCTTCTGGAAAGAGCTGTCAAGCCTGAGGACCTTCAGTGTTGCAAGTGGAGGAAAGGCTACTGGAGAAGGTGGCAGATAGCAGTGGGGCTTGATCCTGTGGGTTTGTGGTGTCCACTTTAAAGGTCTTTTTGTTGTTGTTGTTGTTGTTGTTTTGTTTGTTTGTTTTTCCTCCAAAGGGAAGTCACTGGAAATGTAAAGAGCTATTAAGGCCTGCATTTTAAAAGTGGTGATCAAGAATATTATCTAAAACTACATTCTGAGTAGGAAAAAGACCATGGAGTGGTAGGGGCAGAAAAAGGTTATCTTGGAAGCTATTGCACAATCTGTCGGGGCTGGTGACTTAGGACACAGCCACAGTAGTAGAGGCACATGACCTGTACTGGGAATTTATCTTGCAGGAAGAGGGTAAACCCTCCTGATGAATCAGGTGTTAGGTGTGAGAAAGGGATGGGTCATAGAACTTACACAAGGTTAACTGTTGCCAAGAAGTTCAGGACTGAGCTCTGGGACGTGCGAGTATAGATCAGGGAGGTGATGGGGAGCCAAAGCAGACCCCAAAAGAAATAACACAGAGGAAAGCAAAAAGATGCCATGCTCTTGAATCAAACAAAACCATGGTTTTACAAAGAAGGAAGGTCCAATGGCTGTTCTTACAGATTCCTTAAGGGACCATCTTGCATCAAGCAGGTGTGTCAATATCCAGGAGGATTTTATTAACCTTATATATAAACTTCAGCGAATCAGAAATGATTTTACACTAGAGATTAGATAGTATTTTATAGATCTAGCTTCAGGAAACAGCTACACGGTTGTGGTTACAAGTCCCAGTGGATTCTTTTTTTTTCAAAGATTTATTTATTTGTGTGTGTCAGTGGTGTGCATGCATGTGAGTACAGGTGCCTGTGGGGAGCTGGAGCTGTAGGTGGTTGTGATCATCTGATATAGTTGTCAGGAATTGAGCTTGGGTCCCTTGAAAGAGCAAAGCATACTCTTAACCATTGCACCGTCCCCAGAGGATTGAGAACAACCCTCCAGGTCTTTATCCATTTACTATTGCCAGGAAGAGTTCTTTAAACATTAACTATGTTTATTTCCCTCAGGTTTGATGAACTGTGTGTGGTAGAATTACTTGGAATGGTTACATTGCAGATAAAGGCTTTCTAACATAATACCAAGTGATCCATCCTGGATTGTGGACTTTTTATTAGTGAATTGATTGCCATATAGATTGTACTTAATACCCATAAATCTTACAACTAATGCATTATGTCCCAGGATCTAGTATTCACTATCCTTAGCTTTATTTTCTTTAGTATTACCTTGTTTTTTGTTAGACCCCCCCACTCTTTTGTTTGTATATAATTTAGAGTCATGTTTTTAAGCTTTATGGAAAAAACATTTCCAAGATTCTGATTAAAAAGCATTGAATATATAGTTCAATTTTGGGAAAACCGACATCTTTCAGGTTGATACTTATACATGAAAGTGCTCTATTCTGCATATACTGAAAATTTTTACATATTTAGAACTTCCTGTGTCTCCTGTGATTTTTGATAACATTTATTTATGGGACTCTTCAGCTTAAAGTTCAGAGCACAAAGCTGTGTTTTCTTTAGTTTTTTGGGGTATAGGGTCAGAGTATGTAACCATGGCTAGCCTGGAATTTAATTTACTTTGTAGACCAGGCTGGTCTCAGAAAGATCTGCCTGCCTCTCTACTGGGATTAAAGGTGTGTACCACCATGCCAAGCCTGGGTTTCTTATGTGTGATTCCACCTTTAGCTTACAGTGGATGCTTACTTCCATGCATAGTTGTGTGCTGCTCTTACAGAGGACCTGGGCTTGGCTCCCAGCCCTCACATGATGTCTCACAACCATCTGAAACTACACTTGCAGGGCATCTAATGCCCTATGGGCTCCACAGGCACCAGGTGTGCCTGTGGACACATACATACGTGTAGGTAAAACTCATACACATAAAATAAAAATACATGAAATATTAAAACATGAATATATTTTGATCCTGGGACAAACCTTTTTAGGTTTTGTCTTGACTCCCCAATACTGAAGTCTCAGGCACAGGCCAACATGCCAGGCTTATTCTAATTTGTTCACTGACTTTATCTGTATTGCTTTGAATGGATTACTGCTACACTTTCTGTTCATTATTTCTTGCATATTAATATTTTTAGTGAGTGAATTTTATGCACAAATAGTGATGCTTTGTTTTATTTGACATCTTTCCTATAATTGACATTAATTTTTAAATTTCTCAAAATTTCAATTGGTTCTTTAAAAAAAATTTTTTTTGCCTTAAATGTAAAAAAACTAAGACTGTTTTGCTTTCTGGTTTAGATTTATGAAAATTACTCTACAGTTTATTTTGACTCAATTTTCATAGGCAGTAGGAACCATCAGCATTTAGAAACTATCTGTTATATTTGGTTGGGATATTTACTTTTCATATGCTGAATCTTTATGTATAAATTGGGACCTTTAAAAAGAGTTTTAACGGTATTTTATTTTCTCTTTCCCTTCCCTCCTCTCCCCACCCAACCCCCTGTGTTTCTACATTGGGACACATGTTCAGAAGGACAGACTGGGTTCTGTGTCTTTGTGAACAGAGCAGGTTCCCTCAGGAGAGGAGCATGGTTTAGTTCATCTCTTGTTGTTTTTCTTGCTTGTCTCTGAGGTGAAGCAGTCACAGACCCGAATGACAGCTGTTAACCTGAAGTGCAGCTGTGTACTTGTCTTCTGGAAATATTGAAGGGTTTTGTAATAGTTGTATCAGTTGTTCTGTTCTCCAGCCGGTCTTACAGCTTTGTGAGGGAGAGGTTTGTTTTCAGTATCTGTGTCTGTCTCTTGGTGTCTTTCTTGGTAAATCTCAGCATATTAATAAAGTTATTTGAACTGATTTATTTTTGCAGATACAGTAGAGGGTTTCAATGCCCATTTTATACACGGCTACATAGTTCACGATTATGAAAGCAGATCTGAAGTTCAAATTCCATACCCGTTGTCAGAAAACAACCAAGTGCAGAGCGGAATTGCTTTCCACCATGGCAAATTCATCATGAGTCTCCGGAAAGCAGCTATGGCAGAGCCCAAGTAAGACCACAACTTTAAACATATAATGTTAAAGAGCCAAACCTGAGCCCTGGTATGGTGGCTTAGCAGTTGACAGTCCTTTCTGTTGTTGGAGAGGGCTGGAGTTTGGTTCGTGGCACTTATGTCATGGCTCACAACCACCTGTAGCTTCAGATTCAGAGGATCTGATGCCCTCTTCTGCCTTCCTCAGGCATCTATACATATGCTCATGTGTAATATAATAATATATATAGAATAAAAATGTGTCTTTTTATACAGGCAAGATTTCATCAGTGTTCAAAATTTTTGGCATGGTCTAGATGGCATAGGTGTAATAAAATGATCCATAATTAAAATATATTTAGTGTCTCTATAAAGAATATTGAGACCTTTAAGTAAGATTTAGGTGATTATTATTTGATTGGCATTTGGAGGCCAGCTTTGAGCTGTGGCTACAGCACATGCCCGTGTGTGCCCATTTGAGTCTGTGTTGGTGGTTACAGTACCTTTTCTAGAAAGAACAGAGGATGGCAAGAAGAAATCCCTGTCTCTTTCACCAAGGTCTCTTTCACCAAGAACCTAGCCTGACAGGACTGGCTGCTTGTCTTGATTATTAACTTGTATTTGCCTGACGTCTTTTAATGCTGATTAAGGAAGTTCCAAACATGAGAGCACTCATGTGGATGACACAGGCCGCTGTGCTGACAAAGTGAAGAAGTTGGTGGACTTTTCCTGAGGGCTGAAATGTTTGCTGTTCACAGAAGTGGAGTTTCATTGTGTAAAAGTGGGAACATGCCTCAGATAGAAAAGTTATGATCTTTCTGATGGATATAATTACGTTTGAAATTTGTCAAATGCCATTTTATTTTTAAAAACATATAATCAATTCTTTGATAATTTCATACATGCTTACAATGTATTTTGACCTTATTTACCCTGACTCCTCCCAGATCCGCCCCACCATGTCTTTATCACCTCCCACCTTCATGTTCTTTTATTTTTTTACTGACTCACTGAGTACAGTTTGTACTGTACTCTCACGGATGTGAGGCTATCCATCGCAGCATGGTCAACATCAGGTACCACATCCCTAAAGAAAGCCAACTCTCTCTTCCCTGGCAGCTATCAACTGCTCACTGCTTCTTTGGTCTGGGGGCTCATGAGTCCCTCTGCCCTCCATGCTGGAATGTAGACCAGCTTGATCTCGTGCAGGCAGCCACAGCTGCCGTGAGTTCAGACGTGCAGTGGGCCCACTGTGTCCGGAAGACTTTGCTGTTTTTCTGTCCTCCCCAGCCTCAGGCTCTTACATCCTCTCTGCCTCCTTTGTGCAGTGATCTCTGAGCCTAGCGGAGGGTGTGATGTAGATGTAGATGTGCCGTTCGTGGCTGAGCATGCCACAGACGCTCGCTCTGCACTTTGACCTGTTGTGAGTTTCTATATTAACACTGTGCACTGCACAAAGAAATCTCTGATGAGCTCTGGAGTGGTACTAATCTGTGAACCTATAGGGATTTCAATACTGTGTCCTTAACAAATAGGATTCTAATAATTCTTCCCTTTCATGTCTGACTGCGTTTTATTAGGTTTCTCGGTATTCTTTTTTTAAACGAATGATTAAAGACATGCAGCTTTAAAAGTAATTACATTTGTAATATGTGTTTGGTATACATTACAAAGTGAAAACCTCACATGATTTTAAACATGCTAGCTTTCTGCTTTGCACTGTTGCAGACTTCTTGCTTTGTACAGTCAGGCACATCCATGTGTCCAGTTCCTATGAGTGCAAGGCAAGGGTTAGAGAGTCCATAGCTAAGGGACATTGCTCCAGCGTGCTACTCCAGCCGTGTGTTTCTGTTCCTTCTTTAGTGTGAAGTTTATAGAAGGTGTTGTGCTTCAGTTGCTAGAGGAAGACGGCGCCGTGACGGGAGTGCAGTACAAGGACAAGGAGACTGGAGACACCAAGGTGAGAACTAGGGAAGGTCACTTCTTCCTAGGAGGTGTTCTCCCTATTCCTTTCGAAATTCTGTATTATTTTGTATGTGTGGAGTGTGCATGCTGCAGTGTGTGTGTGGTGTCATGTGGGTCCCAGGGATGGAGCTCAGTGGACAGTGTTGTTACTGTATATGTGGTTATACTCAGAATTAGGAAAATGTTGAGAGCAAGTAACGGTAAAATCGCTTCTAGTGTATGTTAATGTTGGTCTCTTAAAGAGAAAGAGGCAAAGGGCCCTTCAAGACTGTTGTGCAGGGTTGTCCCTTTCTAGAAACTGGACTCTGGTAGGGCCACCAGGTTCCTTGCTCATGGTGTAGTATATCAGTACACATTGTATAAAAGTGTATAAAAGTGCTTCTTCGGTCTAACCACGCGTTAAACAGCAGCACGTGAGGGTAAGTGATTTTATAATGAATCTGGGCAGTTGTTGGAGTTTGTGATGAGCTTCAGTCTTCTGTGGCCTGTGTTTGCTTTGAAGTTCTTCTCATCCAGCACGGTGGAGAGTTTTGATAGCTTTGGTTTCAGAACAGCAAAGGGAGATGACTCCAGGGACTCAGGAAGTGTCACCTTTAGGGCTCCATCCTCTTATATCCACAGGTTGCTTGGGGTACATATTTTCCTGTACACTCTTTGTTTCAGAAGGATAGACCTTTTGTGTGCCTCTAACCATTGCTGGGTGTTCTTCTGTTGTATAGGAGCTCCACGCCCCGTTGACTATTGTTGCAGATGGGCTTTTCTCCAAGTTCAGGAAGAACCTTGTCTCCAATAAAGTTTCTGTTTCATCTCATTTTGTTGGCTTCCTTATGAAGGTATGGAGGAGTTGTAATTGTAGAAAAATAAGAGCAACCTGAGATTTGAAAATCATTAAAATATTTTCTTGTTATTTTTTAGAATGTACCACAGTTTAAAGCCAATTTTGCAGAGCTTGTTCTGGTCAATCCAAGTCCAGTTCTCATCTACCAGATTTCAGCCAATGAAACACGGGTACTTGTTGATATCCGTGGGGAAATGCCAAGGAATTTAAGAGAATACATGGCCGAACAGATTTACCCACAAATGCCTGGTAAGAAATAGGATTTTACCTTCATTGTCATCTTCAGTCTAAAGTAAATCACACAAGAGCCTCTTTTCCAGTTTCCTGAGTGTGGTGTCTAAAAGACGCCCAGAGATCAGCACAGCTCTTTGTAAACGGGCAGTGTATCTCCTGTGATATTAGAATATGTGGATGGGAAAAGCTAAATACAGACAGCTGTCAGTTAACGTGGTTTCTCCTGTCTGATGTAAATTTGACTCATTTCTCCTTCTCATCTCTCTGTTCAGCTGTGTATGTTATTTACATCTGTTTTCTCGTACATCCCTTAACATGCACAATGAGATGCTTAATTGATAGTTTTATAAATAAAGTAGGTAATTAGTGGTTTATTGCAAGGAACTGTGTAACAGCCACAACCCATACCAAGTTAAGTATTCTTTTATGCTTGATAAGAAGATGTATGCTAATTTGAAACCGAAGTGCTCCAAACCACTTACTTGGTTTGGGTGGCATTGATTGCAGACCACCTGAAGGAACCGTTCCTGGAGGCCTCTCAGAACTCTCGTCTGCGGACCATGCCAGCAAGCTTCCTTCCTCCTTCCCCTGTGAACAAACGAGGTATCGCTTAGCAATATTTTATAATGCTGCCCTCACTTCAGATGACATGTGATTAGATATGTGGTCGGGAAATAACATGAAGTTGAGAATTGGTTAATTTGGAGTAGTAAGTTCACATGGCCAGAAAGAGCAGGAGAAGGAGCACTGGTTACCTTAACGTGTTCCCAACATCAGAGTTTTATGATATAATTATTATTGAACTCTGACTTTGTGGAAGACACCATGCAGCCATGGAGAGTACAAAAAGGGATTTAAAAGTTATTCCATTGACCCGTGGAAGACCACTTTTCTAGTAAGAGCAAGAAGATGAATTCACAGTAGTATTGAGAACAGTTCCCATAAAGCTCCATTCCCACTACCACAGGGGTGTCCAGGGCTGGGAGGGAGGCTCTGAAGTGGAAGGGTGGTTAGGACAGATGTTGCTTCAATAAAAAGGTAGACAGTGAGAGGTGGGACTAAGAGGGAATAGACTCTGCAAAGCCTGCCCCAGGGTGGCTGAGATACGGTAGCATTTCTAGGAACTCAAGTCTATTCCTGTAACTGGTATTTTGGTCAGGTGTCATAGTGATTGATAGCTGGGGTATAGTTGTGTTTTCAATCTATATTTTAAAGGTTTATCCGTTACTTTTTGGAAGATCTTACTGTGCAGTCTTGCCTGGCCTGATGTAGACCAGTCTGACCTCAAACTCCCAGAAATCCACCAGTCTCTGCCTTCTGAGGACTGGATTGAAGTTGTGCAGAACCACGCCTGGCTAAAGATTTATTTTTATTTTAACTTACATGTGTGCTTGCCATGTGTGTGCAGGGCCTCAGAGGCTAGCAGAGGGCATTGGGATCTTTGGAGCTGGAGTTACAGTGGTCCCATGTTGGTGCTGGGAACCAAACAGGTCGTCTGCAAGAGTAGCAAGCACTCCTACCTGCTAAGCCATCTCTCCAGTACCTCTTCTTCACATCCCCCTCCCCTCCAAGAAAAGATCTTATAAAGCCCAGACTAAAACTGTATGGCAGAGGATGACCTTAACTCCTGGGTCTGTCCTGCCTCTACTTCCCAAGAACAGATTATAGGCGCACACCATATGCCTAGCAGGGTATGTGTTTAATATTTAGTTTTATCATCTATAGACAATAGGACTTGCAGCTTTGTTGAGATATAGAATGCTAAGTTACTCAGAAAGCAAATTTAATTTTAATTCATTCTCGAGATTTTAGCTCATGTCAATCGTAAGTTTATAGCACTAACTTTTTTGTTTCAGAGCTGTCCAGGATTTCATGATCTTAGTTCTTCTCCCATAGGCGTTCTCCTTCTGGGAGATGCATATAACCTGAGGCATCCTCTTACTGGTGGAGGGATGACAGTTGCTTTAAAAGATGTAAAATTATGGAGAAAACTGTTAAAAGACATTCCTGACCTTTATGATGACGCTGCTGTTTTCCAGGTAAGAATCTCGAGTTTTCCTCCCCCGCAAATGGCTTAAAATACATTCTGTCTAGGGATGTGAGGCAGGGGACCCTCATGGGAATCTGTGCTTGGAAGCCTGCATTTCATAGTCTTGTTCAGGCTTGAATCTGAATCTTTGATTTGTATGCTTAAGTATATGCTACACCAAATGGGTTCAGGACGCTCTGCTCAGATCTGTAAGCTTAGCTCAGTATCATATGACCCACTGCCCTGAGAGTGAGTTTGGCATACTACCTGCAGGTTGGCCTTGGACAGATAGCATTTTGAGGAGATCATAAACATTAGCTTATGCTTTTTTTCTTTTTAAGTATGTAATAAACAATATTTTTCATTTTTAGGCCAAAAAGTCATTCTATTGGTCAAGAAAAAGGACTCATTCCTTTGTTGTGAATGTGCTGGCTCAGGCTTTGTATGAATTATTTTCTGGTACAGATGGTAAGTTTAGATGTTTTTAAGTGAACTTCATTGATTTGTACAGAGTTTTAAGTTTTGTTAGGTAAGGGACTTAAATGCAAAAGTTAGTAGTGAAAGTAGTTAGTCTGTAATCAGTTTACCCAACTTTGCCAGCTGCTAATTTGATAGTTCCTTTTCGTGTCTGAGCATCATGTATCTACCACTTTGTCTGAAGGCTGTTGCTGTTCCTTAGAGAACATCCCTAGTGTATCTCAGTAACACATTCATTCAGTGCCTCTGGTCCAGACTAGAGGATGTGTATCCTCGCCTGGCCAGGTATGGAAAAGCAGTGTGGTTTTTTACTTGACACTAGTTTGAATTTCTTTTGACATATTACACACGAATCGGCACCTCAGCCTGAGCCTGGGGTTTCTTTCCTGCTACAGGGCATGAGTGGAGTGGCACTCACTGGAAATGGCCATCTGCTTCGTCTTGTTTTCTGTAGTGGAGAGAGGCTGGCCACTCTGTCCATAGGTCAAACATTCCAAATAATGGTCTGAAATTCTGAACTAGGTGTGGAGGTACATGCTTGCTCTCCTAGCCCTCAGGAGGCTGAGGCAGGAGGATTGAGATGTCAGCTTGAGCTACATAATAAGATTGCATCTCAAAACAAATGACAGTCTGACATTTGCACCCCTACCCCTGTATTACACTCGAAGTACTAAATAAAAATTAATTTTAAAAACAGACAAAAAAAAAGTAAATGTGGATTTGAGATGCTTCAAGCTCTTGCTTGAGCAGCTTGGTGTGAATTGTAAGAGATGGTTCTCACAGACTAGAGCCATCCAGCACCAAGGATCATCCATAGTGTTTTCTAGGCAGGGCTGCTGAACTGGAGTGGGAGCTACAGTGGCTGCTTGGGCACATAAGAGGAACAAGTTTTAAGTTTGGAGTTCCTCTAAGCTCTTGAATTCTTACATATCAAAGCTGCTAACAACATTACAAAGTTAATGATAGATCAGGGGAGGGAAGAACTTTATGGAACAAAAGTTTACCATATTTCATGCCAGGGAGTGGTGGCACACACCTTCAATCCCAGCACTCTGGAGGCAGTGGCAGGCGGTCTCTGTGAGTTCAAGGCCAGCCTGGTCTACAAGAGCTAGTTCCAAGACAGGCTCCAAAAGCTACAGAGAAACCCTGTCTTGAAAAAAAAAAGTTTATTATATTTCATCTTTAAAAAAATCTTGTGAAAAAAAAATCTAGCTGGGGTGGTGGTACACACATTTAATCTCAGGACACAGGAGGCAAAGGCAGGCAGATCTCATTGAGTTCAAGGCCAGCCTAGTTTACAAAGCTAAGTTCCAGGACAACCAGGGCTATACAGAGAAACCCTGTCTGAAAAAAAACCAAAAAAAACCCAAAAGTTATTTATTATTAATTATGTTTTGAAGGCTTCAAAATGTATTAAGAAGTTATGTGTAGATAAGGCAGTTTCCCTTCTTGACATCTAGTGCTGACTAAGCACTGTGGGTTAGGCACTTCAGAACCTGGGAATTGTGTTGCTAGAATTGTGTTTTTATAGTAAGCACTTATAAAATATTCGGTGTCATTTAATTAATTTACAACAAAATCATACATAATTTAAAAGTAACTCATAAGTCCTAAGTATTAGCAGAATTAACGGGGACAGATAATCTGTACTCATATTACCACTTAGACTGTTAACTTGGGAGGGTAAAAACTCTTAATTATTGAATTCTAGGGCTTTGAAGAAATTGTCATGTTTGGCATTTTTATGTCTTCATTATTTTTTTTTGACAATCATTAACACTATAAGATAAATGAATAATAACTTCTACATTTTATTTTAGATTCCTTGCATCAGCTACGAAAAGCTTGCTTTCTTTATTTTAAACTTGGTGGAGAATGTGTGACGGGTCCCGTTGGGCTGCTTTCTGTGTAAGTTCTTTTTTTTTAAAATTTATTTATTTATTTATTTATTTATTTATTTATTTATTTATTTATTTATTATGTATACAATGTTGTGTCTGTGTGTATGCCTGCTGGCCAGAAGAGGGCACCAGACCTCATTACAGATGGTTGTGAGCCACCATGTGGTTGCTGGGAATTGAACTCAGGACCTTTGGAAGAGCAGGCACTGCTCTTAACCTCTGAGCCATCTCTCCAGCCCCTCTGTGTAAGTTCTAAAAGCAGAAGGAAAACACTCAGTTTATGCCAGTCTTTACCCCATGGAGGTTTAGTTGTAGCCTGTTAGCCATTAGTATCTAAGTCACAAGTAGCCCCAAGAGGCCAGGGTGCTGTCTCAGAGAGTAAAGTGCTTGCTGCAATAGCTTGGCATCCCTAGTTCGATCCCTAGAACCCATGAGAAGAATGGACTCTACAAAGTTGTCCTCTGACCTCCATGTGTGCTATAGCATGTGCCCTCCCCCACATCATGCATGCATGTGTGTGTCTGCACGTGCATGCTAATACAAAATAAAAAAATGTAAGTGGCATCAAGTAATGAACAAAGGACAGGGTTAGCACTGCGCTCTCTGTCCTCCAGGACACAGGTGGCTAAACCTGCCAAGTAAGATTGAAGTGTGGTTTTCACCTGTGTCTTCACGTCTGATCTCCAGGAGCCAAGGATAGCTGAGAACTCTGAATCAGCTATTAATCTTACGGGCTTGAAATTCAGTAGTAGTTCTGCTAGTGCAGATGTATCCTTGGGAAGTCTGAGAAGTGAATTCTTAAGGCTCCTCTTCCTGATCTATAATCAGAATATCAGTTCTGATACCAACCCAGACCGCAGCAGGCTATTTTGTACTTCGGTTTGGATCCCAAGATTAGTGAAAGAAAACAGCTGAAAAAAATAGGACTTAAGAGAGTGGCCATTGGCTTCTCAAAAGGGTTATTCTAAGTAGATTTTTATAATATATTCTAAAAATTCATTTTTGCCATCAAATGCAGATAAGTTTGGTAAGTCTTCAAATGTAGAGTGCCTTAAGCTTCTATTGATGACACATAGTTAGGACTTTTGTGAACTGAAATAATATGGCTCTTTTCTGTCTCCACAGATTGTCTCCATACCCTCTAGTGTTGATCCGACACTTCTTTGCTGTTGCTGTCTATGCCACGTATTTCTGCTTTAAATCTGAGCCGTGGGCTACAAAACCCCGAGCCCTTTTCAGTAGTGGTGCTGTACTGTACAAAGCGTGTTCTATAATATTTCCTCTCATCTACTCAGAAATAAAGTATCTGATTCATTGAAGGGGAAACCACTTGGAAGTCAAGCCCATTGAGACTTGAAGAGGATGTATATAGCATAGAACTGTATGACTTCCTTGGAGACTCAAGGACCAAGCTTGTGTATAAGCATGTAAATATATGCCTTAATTTACAATTGAAAATGAAGGGTTGAATAAGCTAGATGTTTAAAAGAATGATTGTTTCCACAAATTAGTGCTAACACTGAAGTTTTTCTTGATTTCAGTATTTGGGGTGATTCACTGGGACATGCAAATAAAATGAAGAATAAACTCTTATGCCTTTAAAATTTTTTTTCAATTTTAAAATTTTCTAAAATTGTCTTTATTGAGCTATATATTTTTCTCTGCTTCCTTCCCTTTCTACCCCATTTCTCATGATCCCCACGTTCCCAATTTACTCAGGAGATCTTTTTCTACTTCCCATGTAGATTAGATGCCTCTTTTGTTTTTATGTTGTAGACTTCTTTATATAGCCTCATGGTTCCCAAAAAGATAGCCCAAGTGGGGTATAAAGTGCAGTTATTAAGCATGCTCTATTTATTTATTTACTGTTGTGCGTGTGCATATATATTCAGGCATACATGGGTGTGGTGCACATGTCTGCATGTGGAGGTCTGAGTTGATATCATGTGTCTTCCTTAATCCCTCTTCCCGTTACATATATATGAGGCAGGTCTCTTGCTTACCCTGGAACGCTAGGCCATGAGAACCTCTAGGTCCAGGTTCAGGCAGACTCTTGGCATGTCTCATCCATGTTATCCTGTGGAATGGCAGCTCCCTTTCAGAACCATGTTCATGGAGAAACAAGTTATGATATTTGAGTCTTAGGAGTTTGTCACATCCGTAGTCATCAGAGAAATGCAAATCAAAACAATTCTGAGATTCTATCTTACACCTGTAAGAATGGCCAAGATCAAAAACACTGATGACAACTTACACTGGAGAGGTTGTGGGGAAAAGGGAACACTCCTCATTGCTGGTGGGAGTGCAAGCTGGTACAGCCCCTTTGGATATCAGTGTGGCAATTTCCCAGAAAATTAGGAAATAACCTTCCCAGAAATACCACTTTTGGGTATATATCCAAAGGATGCTCAATCGTGCCACAAGGACATGTGCTCAACTATGTTCATAGCAGCATTGTTTGTCATAGCCAGAACCTGGAAACAACCTAAATGCCCCTCAACTGAAGAATGGATAAGGAAAATGTGGTACATTTACACAATGGAGTACTACACAGCAGAAAAGAAATAATGACATCTTGAAATTTGTCGGCAAAGGGATGGATTTAGGAAACATCATTTTGAGTGAGGTAACCCAGACCCAGGAAGACAATTATCAAATGCACTCACAAGTGTTTTTTTTTTTTTTTTTTTTTTTTTTTTTTTTTAACAAAACCAGCCTACAAATTACAATCCCAGAGAACCTAGACGACAGTGAGGACCTTAAGACATACATAGATCTAATCTACATGGGAAGTAGAAAAAGACAAGATCTTCTGAGTAAATAGGGAGCATGGGGACCTTGGGGGAGGGTAGAAGGGGAGGAGAGAGGCAGGGAGGAGAGCAGAGAAAAATGTAGAGCTATAAAAATAAAGTTAAAAAAAAGTTTGTCACTAAACCTTTATAACCCCCCTCCCTTCCTCCACCCCTCCTGCCTCCCAAATAAGGAAAAAGACAATCTTAAGGCTAGCAGCCCGTTTGTGTTGGCGTCTGGGACTAGAAGATGGCAAACCTCAGAACACAGCATATAGCAGATAGGACATGAACTGAGTCTACTACTGGGCTGTCAATGTTCCTTACAGGCCTACCTATCTCTCACCCCTACCCCCCCCCCCCCCAGCCATCTGTCACCTTCCAGGTAGGGTTCCTTACAGGGTGTCAGTCTTTGAATCACAAACAGGGCAACTCAGTACTGGCAATATTATTTTACTGAAGACCTGGAATTGCACAAATAGTTCTTTAGAACATAAAAGGATTTATCCATCACAGTTACACTGAGTATTTAGAAGAGGCAAGTATAAAACAGTTCTGCTTCTACATGATACAAATTCCATATAATAGCATGATTTCAACAGTATATTAGAGCCGAGTCATCTTCCCTAGAACGGCTGATGATTCCTACAGGGGAGGGAACAATGCGAGTTGCATGAGTAGTCAAGTTTCTTTCCGTTCCCAAGTTCACTTTAGTTACAGGAAGCTAATGAGGCCAGTCCTGTCACTGGAGCAGAAGTCACAGGACTGTTCGGAACTCATCGAAAATGAAGTTAGGCACATGTGCTTCGGCCACCTGGAATAGAAAGCAGGAGTTAAATTATTCATAGCATTTGAGCTAAAAAAAAATCACAATTTCACATATGACAATTCAAGAAGTGAGATATCTGTTGTAATAAGGTGAGGTGCTGACTCACACAGGTAAACTAGGAAACAGCTCTTTCATGGTTGGTGTCTTGGTGTCTCCTTATTGTGTACCACTAATACAACACTTGAGGGGAGACCACTGCCTCCAAACTATAGGCTTGGCTCTTGAGAACACTGATCTAGAAATACACATCTGAGACACAATGAGGAGAAATCTGGGGCCAGCGGGAAGGAATGTGAAGGTCTTGAAAGGCCTGCATTCCTTAACTTTTTAGAAGGAGGAGGCAGGGGTGGAGTGGGAGATGGAACAGGTGATCTCTGTGAGCCTTGAAAAACATTGCTGAATTCCTCTCTCATGAAGCTAACTGCTAAGCAGAGAACATGCAGTAAATGTGGACAGCACAAAAATCCCGAGAAACTAATACCAATGTTTAAATTTGTATTCTGGCTGTGGTGGTGGCCCTCGCCTTTAATCCTAGTACTCGGGAGGTGGAGGCAGAATTCTGTGAGTTCAAGACTAGCCTGATCTACAAAACATGCTCCAAGACAGCCTGTCTCAAAAGAACAAACAAAAATGGTATTCTTACAGTCCACACTCATTCAAAATCGGGATCATGTAACATTTTAAGCATATTTTATTGAAGATACTTTAATAGAGGTTAGTAAAAAAAAGGGGGGGTGCTCAGAAGCAAGATATCCAATGATGGTTACAGTTCATTATGGAAGGATGGATGGACCTTGTAATCTGTAAGCTCTGAAAATGTATCCATACCCTTGAACATATATTGGTGGACATTTGCACATTTTATGTATTGTATATGTTAATCTTTAGCAGGTAAATTCCTAGCAGCAGAATTTCTGGGACTAGGATAAATATATCATCAGAGTTTAAAAAGATAGATAAAGCTGAATTCCCCTCAAAGGCGGGGGTTGCTACACTGCCATCCACATCGTGGAGAATGAACCTTTCCAAGCACAGAGCCCAACATTTTCCTTGTCGCCAATCTAGGTTAGCTTGCACCTTGGATATAAGGTCACACCTTTTCTAAATGTTTACTTTAAAACACGTCCTGTTAATGTCCTTTACCTATCTCTCTACTGAACAGGTGATCTTTATTGAGTTGAATGAGAACATTAAAAATTAAGGAAATGTCCACATTTTTGATTTATAGGATTTATTCCTATCCATCTCTTATTTTTTTCAGAGGCATTGGACAGAATTTAATCTGGCATAAATTAGACATCTTTTATGTGTTACGATGAGAAAGTTGTGTTGGTACACATTTATCTAAATGTCTTCTAACTTACCTGCTTCTGCCATTGGTTTTAACAACATGGGTGCCATTTTGTGCCCAAACTGTGAGTGTCCCAAGCCACCACATAACTGTGGCCTGTTTCTCTCCCGATGTGAGGTGCCACTTTGTCCTGTGCACAGTTACATGCAAAGAATGTGCACTGGCCCCGCTGGTCTCTTACCAGCACCACACCACTTCCGTTTCTGTAATTCTAGGCATTAATATCTGGATTGTAATAATGTTTTCTGAAGTCCTTTATAAAAAGTCATAACATTTAAAAAAGCAAGTTAAAGATTAACTGGGGCTTTGATTATAATTACATAAATCTATAAAACTAGGTATCCCACCCAAATGTATAATTTGAAGTCCCCTCATCTGAAACACAGATGTTCAAATCTTAAGATTTTGAGAAGTTTAAGCATGAGGTTAATTGAGAAAAGGGTTCTCACAAGCAAGATATATCTAACTATTTTTCTAGTGTCTATTATTTTAAAGAGTACATTTATATTTTTAAAAGGCATGCCAGATTCCTTGGAGCTGAAGTTACAGGCAGTTTTGAGCTGGCTAATGTGGGTATGGGGAATTGAACTCAGGTCCTCTGCAAGAACAGTATGTGCTCTTAACCTCTGAGCCATTGTTCCAATCTCTAGTAGTAGTCTTAATTATACTATTTCTTTCTTTCCTCTTTTTTCTTTTTCTTTTTTTTTTTTTTTTTTTTTTTTTGAGACAGGGTTTCTCTCTAGCTTTGGAGCCTGTCCTAGAACTCACTAAGTAGACAGGTTGGCCTTGAACTCAGAGAGCCTGCCTCTGCCTCCTGGCAAGCACCACCACTGCTCGGCCATGAATTATACAATTTCTTTCATACTTCTGTGAATGGAACCTTTTTCTGATTTTAAGTGATTTCATTTTGCCCACTTATTATTTAAGTAGGTTATTGAACTTATTTTTATTTGTTTTTTGAGACAAGATCTCAGTATATAAACCTTGGCTGGCCTGGAACTTGCTATATAGACCAGGCTGATTTCAAATTCATCGATTTCTACCCGCCTCTGCCTCAAAAGTGCTGGGATTAAATGTGTGCCACTCCCCCCAACTTTTATTCACCTTTGAATTTTTTTCAGTACTGGTGTTGAACCCAGGGCTTGCTCTACCAACGATCTGAGCTCATTTAGAAAGTTTCCCCATGAGTCTATGAGGCTCTCATTACATTCTTAGTAGGCAGCACTTGCTTTATTTCTTCCAGATCTGTCATACTCAGTTTTCCATCATCTATCATCTACACGATGAGAACAGGTAGTGTCACGTGGCTTTTCCAGCCCGACAAGACTGCTGCTGTCCTTTCACTAAGTACTGCATGCTCATGGAGATGCTCGTCCATCGGCTTTGGCTGTTGTTGTGAGAAAGTGCCTTCCACTAAGAGACTTTTCCACACATATTACTTATGCACACAGCCGCTGAATGCCTCTAGAGGTCAGAGGACATCCTGCGGGGACCAGATTTCTCTTTCTGCCATCTGGGTTCTGGGACTCAGACGGTCAGGTTTAGTAGCAAGCGCCTCTACCTGACAATCCCATTTTTTAACTACCAATGTTTAAAAAAGGGGAAACCATTTTTTCAGCATTTG